ATTATTGATATGGTACCATTTATTTTGATATCCTTATCGTTGGTTCATGATTTTGTCATCTGTCTTGATCTTGATGGTGCTGCATCATCTCACAAGGCTTTGCAGCACAACAGCTTGGTAATGACTGAATATGACAGATTGGGTGAAGCTATAGAAAATAAAAACAAATGGAAAATGTCAAAATCGTGTTGTCTGTTTTAGTAACACACATCAAATAGGGTCAAATGGCAAGTTATATCTTTTATTGGTAACTTTAGTAAGCATGGGTAGTGCAGCAGAAAGAGCACTGTCCTCTCATAATCACCAAGGCAAGGTTTGTTACAGGACTTGGTGTCATATGTGAGTAGATTTGCTCATGGTTTCCCTCTTGTGCTTCAAGGGTTTTTCTCTTGCGCTCTCTTCTCATGATCACCAAGGCAAGATTTGTTACTGGACAAGATGTCATATGTGAATAGATTTGCTCAAGGTTTTCCTCTTGTGCTTCAAGGGTTTTTCTCTTGGGCACCCGGTTTTCCTCCCTACCCAAAATCTGAATTTCAATTGTCAGAGTTTATTGGAAGAAGAGCCACTCTGTGGAATTGCCAAAGTTCAATTCCATGTACAGTATTGATTGAGTGAAAGTCTTAAGGTTCTGCTACACTGTGCAATTTTCTCAGCAACTTATCTCACAATGCTTAACTTGTAGCATTGCTAGTTCCCAAGGTGAAGTGTTTTAGCAGTTATTCTAAGACCCCAGACCTAAGACTAGGGGGGAGCACTGGGTGCACGTGCACCTCCCCCCATAAAAGCTTAAGGTCCTCTCATCCATCTCCTTTTTTTTTTCTTTTTTGGTTCTGCTTTCTTTTGGTTACTTTTTTTTATCTTTTATTTTTGTGCACCCTCCCAGCAAAAGTTCTAGTTACAGCCCTGGACCCTGGGTGTTTGTCCGGCAGGGACTCAAACCATGACCTCCCACAAGTGGCACAAAGTGGCACAAAGTGGAATCAGGGAGGGGTGCACACCCCCTGCACCCCTCCCCTGGATCCGCCAATGGGCTTAATTAAATATACAAAATCGAACTGGTTCATAGATACAGTATTCAAAAAGCATCATTATTTTACTCATGGTTTACATGAAAGCTATTTGAAATTTTTATTTTCAAAATGGCCAGCATTTAGTATTACTAGTTACAACAAAACACTCAAGCCTTACCTGACGTCATCATCATTAACATATTGGAAGTATAAACCTTCATAACTTATAGACGCATCACTCAAATCAAGAAATATTTTACCAATCACAGGGTTCATGCTACATTTTCGTTACAAAATTCGATTTTCAAGGACAAAGGTTTTTGTACTTTTTAGAAAATGGTTTAAACATTGATTCAATGTTACAATGCAGCTAATTCAGCCGGGGCCACTAGCTTAGATAAATAGATCTTTAATTTACGCATTCTTACCAGAAGTACCCAGATATTCAGCTAGGCTATTTACGAAAGATACGAAAACTCTTCAATCAATCGTTACTTATTTCAAAAAGAAAGTTAGAAATAGCATTAAGTTTGCATTACATTCAAGGAGTATTCCAGGAGTTTTGGCGTTTTCCTCTATTTTCAAGAACTTTTCAAGCGCCCTTAAAAACGTGTTTTCAATTCAAAGACTTTTCAAGGATTTCAAGGAGTAGCACGRACCCTGCAATCAACTACTTACCTTATGCAGAACCAGTACTGAAAGTATTGTCAAAGGGTTCATTTACACTTCAGGATTTTTAGTTTAAAACTGACTMAGTGCAAAAATGAAACGATAGCTCAAAATAAAATGCCTTTTTGAAGGACGATTGAACCCAGAAAACACGAAATAAACCTTATCTTAGTATTAGTATTGATTAGTGTAATACGTAAGCATTTCTTACCGGATAAAGGATGGTATTTTTAGACACGCTTTTCTCCTTCTTCCGCCATTTTGTTTGTTTATGTTTTTGACAAAGCCCGCACAGCATCATGGGACACCACAGGGATACCACGCAGAAAACAAACCATAAGTCGATCGTCGCTCCTTTGTGGGGTGTATTCAGAATGGACAAGAGTCTAATGGAATCAGTATGAATATGAGTTCTTAAAAGTACCTTTTCACAATACCACTACCACTACCACTACCACTTATGTAATGTGTTCCTTTAGATAGCCGCAAAACCCGTATAATTTCAGAGGAACATGATGATCATCGTGGATGATTTATACACTAAGAAAGACAGTCTGGGGCAAGGTCTCTTCTCCTCTCTTCTCTTCGCTTCTCTTTCCTTTTCTCTTCCCTTCTCTTCCCTTCTCTTCACTTTACTTTACTTCTCTTCTCTTGTCTTTCTTACTTTTTTTCCCTTCCTTTTTCTTCTCTGCTCTTCTCTTCGCTTCTCTTTCCTTTTCTCTTCCCTTCTCTTCCCTTCTCTTCACTTT